GCCTATTAGTGAGCCAGTGAATTGTTTAAGATGCACAGCCAACTTTGTCTTCTCTTTTTCAGTGACACTTAAGGACAACTTGTAGAAAAGGGAATGTATTACTTCTGATTCCCAAAGGGCTTACCCCTGGACAGCAACAATACAATCCCAGAATTACACACAGCCTTGTCCCTTACCGGTGAATGAAACAGCAAGTGTGCGTGTGTGTTGTTGGCAGCAAACTGGTAACACCAGTGAGAGGATCAGGGGTAAATGAAAATAGATTAAAGAGATTCATCCAGTTATCAAGCCACTGCAGACAATCTCTGCTAAGTGATAGCAGGGCTATTCAAAGAGGAGGACAACCCCCCCCCGCCAAATCTGCTGTCCACTGCCTCCATGTGTGAGCTGTATTTGGGCTCAGAGCTCTACAACCGTAACTGTAGATTTAATTAAACTGGGAAGAGGATTACTGATGAAATGCTGCAGTTTAGCAGTGTCCATTTGTGTAGGCTTACTCTGTTTCACTTTGAACACTCTGAAAAATGTGATAGCTTTCAGTTTGGACTTTTCATTCTGGTTACTGTGATGTGGACGGCCAGTACTAGAATACTGTAGTACTCTACTTGATGGAACTTCAGCATGTAATTGCAATTGTGTGTTGCATTGACCCTGTTTTAGAAAAAAAAAGAAATCACTCTGCTAACCCCTCATTTGGGTTATATTCATTCATATTTAAACATAGTTGCTATTAAATTATTTGAAGTAGTAAGACGTCGCTGCAGCAGCAATCTTATCTACTCTTTGCACCCTTAAACAATCTTTGACAGAGAATCTTGCATACTCAGCAAACTGAGGAAGAATGTGAAATGCAATTTAAAGCTCTGAAAAAGGTGAACCTTTAGTTCAAATGTTTTTTCTTTTGTGAAATTACTGAGTGAAGAATAATCCTTAAAGGTGACAGAAAAAGTTTGAGAAGCACTGGGAAACAACCATATATAATCTCATTTATGTCTGACTCTGATCAAAACAAGAGATCTCTAACTGATCTTAAATAAGTCTAATTTAAGTCTCCCGAACATTGGACCATGAGATCAGAGAAAGAGCTCAAAGAAAACTCAGCTATGACTCCTGGGATCTCATGATTCTTCTCAAATATGTCTCAGTTTTCTCATATTGGCCTCAAGAGCAAAAAACTCATCTCTGTCTTACTCTGATCAAAATATGAGATCTCTACAGTATCTTAAATAAGCATAATTTCAGCCTCCAGAGTGTGGATCAGAAAAAAAGTCCAAGATATTTCTCAGTTTTGTCTTAGTGACCCCCGTAGGTTTACTTAAGTACTTTACTTACGTCAAATGTTGAGGTTGAGTATTTTCTTTTTATGGGGGTTTGTACTTTTACTCCCTTTAATTTCAAATCCTTCTTGTATTTATTGTTAATTATCTGTTACAAGTTACTTAGAAAAATAAAATAAATTTTGACATTGAAAATAACACGCTTGGTGGCGGTGGTACAGTGGTAAGCACTGTCACCTTACAGCAAGAAGGTTGTGTCCCGACCTTTCTGTGTGGAGTTTGCATGTTGTCCGTGTGGCTTCTCTCCAGGTGCTCCGGCTTCCTCCCACTATCCAAAGACATGCAGGCTAGGTTAACTGGTGTCTCTAAATTGTCCTTAGGTGTGAGTGGTTGTCCGTCGACCTGTCCAGGGTGTACCCCGCCTTTTGCCCAATGTCACCTGGGATTGGCTCCAGCCCCCCACGACCCTGTACACATGATAAGCGGTTGACGATGGATGGATGGATGGAAAATAATACACTTTCAAATGTCATGTTTTCCAATTTGTAGTCACAGCCAGGATAACTGGAGAACACAATACTTTGACATGATTATTAGAGATTAATTCATTAAGGACATGCACGCAAGAACATACAGAATCAACACTTTTACTTTTGATACTTAAGTACATTCACTATGGAATACTTTTATACCTTTTACTACAATTTTGAGGACTTTAATTGTGTATATGGTATTTCTCCTCTTTTAAGTAAAGGAAAATTGTACTCTATTTAAAGGCAATCAGTCCTTCACTGTAAGCTTTAGTTGGATGGTGCAGCAGCAGTGTTGTTGCCCTTTGAACAGCAGGAGCAGGGTTCAAATCCAAGGCAAGCCTCCAGCATGGTTCTCCAAGCATAGACAGCAATGTAATACAACGAAACTCACAAAGAGCTCCCAACTGCTTTTTAGGAGCAATAAGCAAGACATTAATGAACTCAGAAAGATACAATGGTGAGATCTCATCTGTTACTTATATTTATCCTATTGTAATCTCAATTCAGTATCCATTTGTCTTACCTAAGTCTCAAAACCTCAATCTCTCTTCATCTCATCCTTTTCTCCTAAGGGGTTTTAGGAGCAACAATTCAGATTGGAGTGATCTCAAAAAGATTATTGAGATCATAGTGTTTTCTCAAGAGTTAAAGAAAAGAGCAAAAGATTTTTCCTCTGGGTTTTGGGTTTGTGGTCTTTGTAATAATGTATTTTCACAGTCTTATACTTCAGTTTTACATCTAACTGCATCTTTCACTTTTAAATATAAATTTTAAATTGACCATCATCATATGTGTAATTCAGAGCACAATTCAAACAGGATAAAAAAAATTGTTGTCTCTTGCCATTGACTATCGTACATATTTTTTCTGAAGTAGTCCCATGGTGGTCCACCGGAAGGGGAGGAAATAAGGCTCTCTAAAGTGGCGGTAACATGCACAAATATTCCTCAAAGACAAGAAAGAAGAAGTTTGCTGGTATATTTTTTACTTTTGTAAAAACAAAACAGGACACCCTCACATTCATTCACTTTGGAGCTGTGTTTCAGTCCCAACTGCAACAAAGAAGCATTTTGAATTTGCCACAACTCTGATTAGTGCCTCTGACTTGCTTTCTTGCCGGAAGCTCTTGGGTGTCGGTATAGTATTTAGTTATCCATCATACCAAACTGATAGAGAATTTTTCTGGACAAATTTAAATAATTACAACTCATGGCTATAACATAAACCTATATTGTTGTTAGATTATAGTGGATTAATCCATGGATTAAGCCATGGTTATTGCCACATTTTAAATCACAAAAATAGCAAAATTACACATTATTTGGCACTGTGGGTCAGATCAGAGCTTGGGCAGAGAATACAGCCTAAAGTGTTTCTACACCAGTGCTTTCATCATAGCCCTTTCCTCAGAACTGAGACATCAGAGCCAGATGTGTCACCCTGACATGTACATTATGGTCTACCATTATGAAGCTTGTATCGCGATCCCCTACCTCCATGTAAAACCTCTTTCCCCCTCTGTGTGCTGGCTTTTCTGCAAGTCCACATGTCACAGGGACTCCTTGGCAACCAAGTCAGCTCTCTTTGTGTGTTTCATTCATATTTTTCTGTGACCCAATTTTCCCTGGTTTAAGCAGCATAAAAAGATGAGGCACAAAGGCAATTTTTCACAGGGCTTAAAGCCTTTTTCATATGAGACAAATTGTGCAAATGGAACAGGGTCACAAAATTGTTGTAATGTAATCACCGGTGCCATGTGAATTAAGCCCAGTTGTATCACACAATCGTATAAGAGCTGATTAAGGTAATCCACAGTGGTTGTATTTCTCAGGTATTGTAGCCTACTGTATGTCACATTAATGGCTGTGACTCACAAGCGATCTGCAAATACTGGCTGGCTATGGAGAGGACAAAGTTTACAAAGTCAAAAGTTATTTCCATATCAAAACAGAAATATGGATTCTCATCTATGCATGTACCGCAAATGCATTGAACATGACATCATGAGAGCCATGTGAAGACAATAATGTATACTCACACTGAACACAGAGGGAAAACTTTGCAAAACAGATGGGCAGATAGAAATGTGTTTTTCCAGCATTTTATCACACTGATTGTAGATTCATTTGAACTCACTCCTGAGACCTCGGTTAATGATCTGTGTACCTATTGAAATCAGCCTGGAAGATATCGATGCCTGTGCCTGATAAACTAAGGAGAGCTTGACTTCCAAGAGCAGCTTTTGGATCCTGTCCAGGTGAGCTTACTTCACTTTGTGGCTCAGTTGGCTGGAGAATAAGAATGAGGCCTCTCTCTCTTGCTTTGGCCTATGGTCCTGAAACAAAATGATTATTCCTCACATTTCAGCTAATGACTTTCGCGCATCAGCATATCCGCTCTCTTACACATATCAATTAGTTGGGACTGCATGAATGCCTGAAACACTTATGTGGCAGAGTGCTGACACAAGCAATGTGACCGAGTCATCCTTGCTTGACTCTTAAGTAGTTTTGATAACTCTTTTTTCAATCCAAAGTCAAAAGGTCCCAATTTAGACATCCATAACAAGATAAAGTTCAGTCCAGTTACAAATAATCAAAAACAGTTACTAGTTCTGCTGTAGGACAGTGACATGTGGTAAACATCCAAAGTACTTTTTAATAAGATGAGTAAAGTTTTGTGTTGCTGCACAGATAGCAACTTGAAAAGAAATAATTCAGTAAAATTGTATTTATAAGCTCCAATTCATAACAGATGTTATCTTATTGCAATTTTCATATAGAGCAGGTCCAGACTGTACTCTTTGTAATATTAAATAAATAAGATAAGAAGGGGATAAATGACGTGGGAACTGAAGGTGGGAAGAAATAAGGAAGGGAAGAATGAAACATATTATGTGCCTATCTCATGTAAAATCAGAATTTGCAAAGTAACTAGTAAAAGAAAAATAGAAATAAGTACCAATTAAAATTACTTTAAGGATCATAACTACCTTGCTATGATCTACCTAGATGTAGCACCAGCATCTCAATGACAAATGGTTGCATTGGCCACACCTGCCCCCCCCCCATCATTTTACCCCTATTCAGCAGGGGGCTAAACCAGAAGTTAGCTGGCTCGGTCACCACAGTGGAATATAAAAAACGCACTGTCAACTAGCATTTGGCGGTGTAATTGCAAATTGGCCTTGATGAGGTAAGTACACTAGGCAAGCCATGTAATCTTGGCTGTTATTTAATTAGTTGGAACATTGATTTATTACAGTATGTTTTTATAGCAACTTTAGTAACATATTCAGCTTAGTAAGGAGCTATTTCTTTGATCTGCCTTGAGCTTTGGGAAATCATTATTTAAATTGTTTATTGACCAATTATTAGATTTTTTTTTGGGAGTTTATAAATAAAATAAGTAATTGATCAATCGAGAAAATAAGTGGTAGATTCAGAAAATAATAATTAGTTGCAGCCTTAGTGTAGACCTATTTTTAGTGAATACCAACATTGCTAACAGAGTACCACTAATCTTGGTGACAAAAATATTCCATATATTGCCGCTGCATCACAATAAAAGCCACTCCACGGTTCGACAGTTGTACTTTTAATGTGAAGCAGCAGATGTGTGGGATTGTTGCCAGGCGAAGCAATAGTGCATCACATTACATCATATGCACACAGATGGCACAGACAGTACAGTACCTGATATTCACCACAAAGGAATGAAACTGGAAAACGACATAAAACCTAGTGCGGTGAAAAGTGGAGACGATGGTAACACACCAGTCCAGCAGAGAGCAGAGTAGTGAAAACAACTCGCCATGCGCCTAGACACATGAGCCACTAACAGCAGTGTAGATTTTGTGACTGGTGGTAGACCCATCAGTCCACTGAAGCTGACAATGGTAAGACCGTGAGCGGTACTTTTGCTGTCTTGTCCATAAGCTGGTGGCTATGCAATGTATTCATCTGTGCATTTACTACCTGTCAGGGATGATGTTTCCCTACACTTCCAATATAATGGTTTCCCCTCCTCAGTCCAGCCACCATATGCTGTCTGCCCTCCGCTGGTGCCCTTAATTCCTAATGACAAGAACAGCAAGGTTAAAAGCAACACGAGTAAAGACAAGTGACAAGAGTCAACTCAGACCTGAGAAGTGTGAGGAAAAAAACCAAAACGTTTTTTCTGGCCTGAGATAGCTCAGGTTGCTGGTGGCAACTGATAAGCTAATAACTGCAGGATGGAAATGTGTTAAAAGTACCCTTCAAAATGGTCAAAAGTGTATGGAGACTGGTTATAAAATTTTGAATAATGTCATTGCATTGCATTATTGCCTTAATTATATATTTTGTCATTGGTGTAAGATAGTTTTTAACTGAAGTGTAATTATTTTTTACATTTACCACCCATTTTCAATTGACATTTGAACAATCTGTCACACTGTGATCTGCAAGTTGTCATGACAATATTTCAGATGACTCAAATGAAAAAACACACAAGTCTATGGCAGAAAGAAAGAAATTAGTGTACAATCAATCAATTAGAATCATAAAAAAATATTACAAAATAGGTGTTATATTGTTACCAATTTATAAGTTTAAGGACTTTTAAGGGTACTATGACACAGGTTACCCCGGGTAATGTGCCTGTGCCTCTCCAGAACAGTAGGTCAGACTCTGTCTGTCCTCTCTGCCTTCTTAGTCACCTGACTGACGCAGCTGTCTTGATAAGGATGCACTGTTATCAATTTACTAGGTAACCCAAGGTTATACAGACAGACTGGCTGGATCTTTGTAGAAAGTGTAGCCTGTG